CTACTTGAAAGCCCAAGTGTAAGGGTGTCAAGAACAATTAGTATTTTAATAGCTCCCTTTCTTAGGTTATTTGGCAGGCACAAGTTCATCAGAAAAAGAGCCAAAAATGTTCTCAGGAATATAGGGCAATGCCACTTAGAAAAGATATTTCACTATATTGTTCCATATGCCTGTTCTTTTTTAAAAATAGGAAAGTTAAAAGAAATGGAAATGGTAACTGTCCATATTTATAACTTCGATAGACAAGGTTCTTTAGAAAAGGACTGCTTAGGTGGGGTCCTCCTTGTTTTCAAAGCTTTAAGGTAATTAATGCTTGGTCAACACCACTGAACCCCTTTCAGATTTCAGAATTCTGCCTCAGGCCAAATTCTTGCTGCTGGAGGAAAAGATAGGTCAAGAAATGAGGAGACCCAAGATTGAGTGGATTAAAGAGGAGGTAGCTGTATATGAAATTTGGATACAGCACCAAGGCCTGTCTTGTATGTATAACTCCCTTAGAGTTATTTTGTAGAAAGATATGCTAATTCAGAGATATCTAACTAGCTTCACATTTAATTCTGACTTCGAATCATAGAGTGGCAGAGCAGCTGTGCCTTGAGGCAATACAATCCTATTTCTATAAAAATCTCTCAAAGCTCCATTTATAAATGGAAGAGTAAAAATAGATAATCAAATCCAAATTAAGGCTATTAAGAATTGATTTAGTGTAAAGATAATATGGCAAGATTTTGTTTAGGTTACGGATGTTCACTAAAAGTGCGTAATACTTGTTTGCCTAAAATTTTGATTATGTTTTATCTTATTTTGTCACAGCTAAATAGTTTTATCATTAGGGTTTTTAATTGCATATAGTTTATAGAATTCTTTCTGATTACTCTGTATCCATTTAACTGGGGGAAAAAAATCCCACTGTACTACTTAATGAAGAGAGAAACACCTAATGAGGATGCAATCACATTTCAGGCAGATGCACCAAAAGGTGTGGCTCAACAATTCTGTTTGGAAAATATCTGTCACAAAAGTTATAGAGAGTTTACAAAGAAGATCCTGAGGAGAATAGGAATTAATGTACCCAAAAAACACTAGTCACTCAGCGCTAAAACAATCAAGAACAGAGAAAGAAATGAGGACATCAAGTCCTGGACACTGTTCTTTCTGACTTCATGACACAAGCTCCACTACCATGCAGTTCTTCCTTATTTCTTTATCTTTCTTTTGCATCTCCCTCACTTCATGACTTCTCTCAGTCCACTCCTAGTGTTCTGTTCTGGACTTTCCATTCTCTTGTTTTAGAGTATTATTAGATAATTCATTCTAATCAGCATTAGAGTCTCAACAAGAACTCCAGATCCATTATTTGTCCTCAAACTTTCACATGTGTTCTTTGATTCTCTCTTCAGCCCTTGCAGCCAATCCACATTGGCAAGGACGGGGCCATGTAGTCCTTTCAATTCTTCCTTCTCATTTACATTGTTCATTTTGGTTCTACACAAACTCCTCATAAACCACAATAGTCCAAATTTCTTCTCCTGGCATCAGACTCTCAATATACTTCTTCCCCATTTGGAGAACAAGGGCTAAATAAATTAGTTAGTATTTCCATGCTCCCAAAGCCCATTAGAGTTACAATGTTGGAAGTCAGTTTGCCAAATACATACTGGAACATTGTAGCCCCAGGTGTTCAGGGAATACAGTACCAGCATTTTTTCATTCTGAAATAAAAGATGCTGTGTATACATAAAAAGTAATTTAAGAAATTTTGGATCATAGCTATAGTTTAAAAAAAAGCACAGATAATAAAAGATCAAAGTTGCAGCAAATATATATAAATATAAATAATATAAACATAAACCTGATTTGTTCTAAGATAGCATTTGTTTTTAAAACTTAGTACAGATGCTTTAACACAGGTTGAGTGTTCCTAGTTCAAGAGTCTGAAGTTGGAAAAAAATCTGAAACTTAAGAGTGCTAACATGACACCACAAGTAGAAAATGCCACACCTCATCTCATGGGGTGCTCATAGTGAAAATGCAGGCATATTAAAAGTACTGGATAAAACTGTAAGACTTCAAGCTATATGAAACATAAATATATTTCCTATCAGGATTTGAACCTGATGCCCAAGATATCTCATTATGTATACGTTAGTATTCTATAATACAAAAAAAAAAATCTGAAATGTGCAATACCTCTGATTCCGAGCATTTTGAAAAAGGGATGCTCAACCTGTATTGAGTTTACTAAAAGAATTAAAAAGTGCCCATAACTACATCCAGACGATTATCCTTGTAATCCAATCTTAGAGTAGGAAAACAGTGCTATCAAGTGGCTAAATCTGGGACCAGCAGACAAGGCACACCGAAGGCTCAAGAACCATGAAGAGGCTGTGTCTCAACAACTCAACTTTATGTCACAAAAGAAACAAACAAACAAAAAAATCATCAACTAATGGATGGGAAGGGATTAGGTGCTGTTTCCAGCAGTTGTTCTCAGAGTATGACATGGCAAAAAAATTAAGAACTTAGTCTCTAAAGCCACATAGGCTCAGGTACAAAACTTGAATGCAAGACCTTTAAGCAATCTACCGGACCATTTTAACTGTTGACTACTTTGCCCATAGAATGGAGAAAAAAATATTGATCACCTGATCTGACTATTGGAAAGATTAAATGGGGTACTATGTAGAAAACATTCCACAAAATTCTTGGCATTTAGAAAACCAATTAACTCTGTAACATTGCTTATTATTATTATTATTGTCTCTTATTTTGCTTAGCATATAAAAATAATTAAAATGTAAAAACCCTTTAAAAACAGGTTACAAGATCAGTATCAACAAATATATACATGCAGAAATATAAATATCACTAAGTACATGGAAGCAAATTAAAAAGTAAAATAAGTTCAGTTTTAAGGTTGGGTTTTTCAATAAAAGCATGAGGTAATTTTTAGAAGCACAAAGACTGCAAAAATAAATCCTAAAATCATTATGACCCTTTTGCAATGATGAAATTTTCCTTAACAAATCCTGCATTTTTTGACATTTATTTTAATAAATCTTTCTTTATACAAACAATTCTTCAAGTTAAATTTGGTCATTTGGCTTTCTTCTTGGTTAGAAATATGAGAGGAAAACACAACAGAAATACCCATCGAAAAAATTATAATGTTGTAACTTACAATGTTAGTATTTGAAAAGAAGATTTGATCTTTGTGATCTCTCTTCTTTGGCTTGTATGTATAATCTGGTAGATTAATTATCTCAATAGCCTTAAAACTTAAGACAGTACCTATTAGCTTTGTATAAACATAATTGTTATCTGTTTTTATATAATAAACAGAAATATCGTAATTTATAAGTAATTAAAATTGAGTCTTATTATTATAGATATTTTGTTAACATTAGTCATATAAGAAACGAGTTCCTGAAAGCCACTATACAAAGTTGTCTTAAATAATTTTTGCCTACAAAATATCGAAAACACTTATTTAAAATTAAGTATAGGATGGATATAAATAGGTATCTCTATAAATATACATACATATACATACCTCAATAATCAGAAATAAACACAGTGCTTTTTGCTATAGTTCTTTCCTTTAATGATTTACAATAGGGTTTGAGTTATCTGATTAATAATAAAAAATCAAATCAGAAAAGAAATGGGACTGGAATGAGAACTGTTTGTGGTCACAGTGTGTTACTAACTAGCTGTGCACCTTTGGCAAGTGTTCAGCCCTACTGTACTTCTATTTCTTCATCTACAAAACAAAATCTCTAAAGTCCAGGACAGCTCTACTCTTTACATTTCTTGCTATGATTTACTATGTCACAATGGCTCTAAATCATAAACCCAAAGATAGGAATTACTTATTCACAATGAATTTCTCTGACTTGTTCTCAACTTCCCTTCCTATTGTTAGAATATGGAAACGCAAGACAAACATCACACAAACATATTGAAAGAAGTAAAAAAAATCCATTTAAAAATACTATTGCAGATTTTTAAATTCATTTATTAAGACATATTATCTGTCCTTTACCTTGGGCAGTAAAGATGAACATGACTATCTAGAGATTATAACATCCACATGTTTTTCTTATTTACTTCGAAATTATTCATGCCACCCTAGACATCTGGCACAAGTTCCTCTCTCAGTAATGTATTCATAATTCTAAAACTTAACTCATCAAGACCCAAAAAGCCTTTGACTGAAATCATTGAGGTGTTTTTCCACTTACACATCTGGTTAACTTTGGTGACAATCAACTACGAAGAAATGATACTCAAAATGAATGAATGTGTTTGACTATGAAAGATAACCAGAAACGCATAATCCATGAAGAGGGAACCAGAGAAAATAAAAGCCAATCAACATAAAACAGCACCCTGAATAGAGACCACGCCAAGTGGCTGGGCATGTAAATTGGTGAGAGGTTTCTGAAAGAAGGCAACTTTAGATAAATATCAGAGTCTAAGTGAACTCACCTCCTTTTTAGTGATTTTAGCACATCTTTCCACAGTATCATGAGAAGCTCATCTTTACTTATGATTTTGTAAAAACGTTAGTTGAGATATTTCTGATTCTACTAGCAAATCAGGTAAAGTGAAAAAGGCAACAGATTCAATACTTGAAATTGTGCCTTGATATAAAATAGATCCACTGCTTAAAATAGTATAATGAGAACACCTTACTTTTGAAAGGGCTCACTGGACAACATCAATCAGAAATGCGTGAAAATAACCTCTAATAATAATAATGATGATAATAAACATCCACTACAGACCTGAAGGCATAATAAGGCACAACCTTAAGGCCATAATGTGAGGATGCAAACTATGGGCACACAATCTCGCAGCAAATATCCACATCCACACATTTTACTATTTTAGTTATGTTGAAACTTGAGAACTTTCATAGCAGCCCACTAAAACCACAGATAAAGAACATGAAAGTAGATAAGAGAAGTGTGCAATTTATGAATACGGTTTATTACCATGGTTACAAACTTTCAGAACAGGCCTCTGAGACATTGGGCTGAGACTTTGCCGGAGATCTGTTAAAAAAATACATATATACAAAAGAAACTTAATAGAGAGGTTTGTTCATCTCAAGAAGTTAACAGTATTAGACACACTTGTTTCCAAGGTTAACTATTTCTGGAAGCAAAGCAATGCTTCACTACCCTGAAATACATGAAGCAGTAATATTATGACTTTTACTTCCCATTTAATTATGCTACTGTAAACTCCACTGGGACAAGGTACATATGGTTCTGGAGATGAGACTTGTCACACTAATCAGGATTTTCTAGGTTCAGTGCATTGATTCGTTAATGTGCTGGTGACATCGGCCAACTGGAAGACATAATTCTCTGACATTTGTCTTTGCAAGGGATTAAGCAAACTTATGAACCTTCTGAACAGTTGTTGCCCACAGCACTGCATTCTTGACACATGACTTGAAAAGAATTTTTTATTTCCCCTCCCCCAAGAAAGTGTTCTTCTCTGTGATAGTACCCTATAAAGCAACATGAAACAAGCATAATGTTCACCTTTCGGCTTCGGTGTCCTTTTTCTTCTGTCGCGGAAGGCAGCCCCCGACTGTAAGGCCTCCAGCAGACTATCCATCACTCCTGTCTCATCACCCTCTGTGAAAAGAGATGCAGGGAATTCCATCAGCCTTCAGGGTTACCATAGCAATGTCAAAGCATACACAGAGGCGGGTGATGGTGATGGTAAGGAGAAAAAAAGATCAGATACTTGGACTAAACCAGCAATTTCAAAATTAGATAGAATTCGAACTCTCTCATAAATCAACTGTCTTTTAACGAAATCTGTCTCATTAGTGCTTGTGTTACGATCCACTAAAGAGGACAGAGGTCCACTGATTCACTTCAGAGAAATGCTTTATAGCTCAGCAGCAGAAAAACTTCAAATGGAATCTGGTTCTGCTCAGATCTGTGTCTCGGTTATCATAAATCACATTTCCCTGGTAGAAATGGGCTATTTTGAAGCTATGAACCTCTATTCTAAAACTGGCCAGGTGTGCGACAGTACTTTGTTACTGAGATGCTGCTGTCTGTGCTTATCATACAAAATTATACTTCCATATGAACTTTTGTGAAGATGTTCCCAACAATCGATATTTCATATCAGAGGACAAATGTTTCTTGACTTGAGATAGCACACGGTAATCATTACAAACTTTTATAATGCTGAAAATAAGCCAAGAGAGGCTCTCACAAATCTAAAGGACTAGATCTCATTCTGATTAGTTTAAATTGACATTCTGTATATAATTAACAAAGAATGTGGATAGAGAGCCAATTCTCTCTATAAATACAGATTACCATTGTAACATTCATAGTTCTTTATAGCAATCAATGCTAAATATTATTTAATGAAAGCTGTAGAAAAAATTTTCAAAGAAGCTATCAGCCCAACTCAGTTCAATGAAACACTAAGGACTTTTTTGCTCATGCAAAAGAGGTTATTTACAGACATTCTGTATGAAACTTTATGGCTGGTATAACATGACAACTAAAATAATGAAAACTTACTTTCCTATGGATTTATTTCTTTGTTTTGTTTTCCTTTTTGAGATACAATCCCTTTATAGAGAACAGTTGACAAGTGAATGCAGTAGAGTACAAATAACACACTCATTTACAGTGTATAAACAGATATATAAATATAAATATGTATCAAGCTTTTTCCATCTGCTTCTATTTCATATTTTTAGAAGAGTATTAAACCTTGAAGGTGTTTTCAAAAAAAAAGGTGGGTGAGAAATAGAATATTTGGAGGTTGTTAATTTACATGTAAATATAAATCTAAAGTGGCTTGATGGTTGTTTTAATTAAAATACATTAAATATTTCAGACAGTTTAATAACTACCTCGCTATCTCTGAGAATTTACATTCCAGCTTAACCACATTTTTCCTAAAAGAATAGCAGGTAGTTCCAAATATTAAGGGTAGTAAATATATTTCATTAGAAGAAAACATTTTAAAATCTAATATTAATTTTTTAATCTCACACTTATATGAGAGGTAAAAAAATATCCTACAGTCAAAACCAAACAGGAAAAAATGAACATGTTATCTTACCGACAGCACTGACTATAAAGAAAGAGAAACAGTGAATTAATCCAAGTATCTTGTGAGTACTCTTAATAGTGAAGATTTAAGTAGGGGGGAGGGGTATGAATGATACAGGCAATTTGTTGTTCGTTGTGGTATTGCTGTAGTGATTCTCAAATATTTACATGGGTATCATAAGAGTGAGCAAATATGCTGACATTGCTTGTAACATAGTGCTCACTGTTGGGGGTTGGAGGGGGGGATACAAATCTGGAGTGAAAGATGGAGAGAAAAAACCATGAAGTATAGGGTTGGATTTACAGTATCAAAGCTTAAAAAAAAAGGACAATTTCCTCAAGGTTTATAGACCAAAAGAGTCCAGAAACAATGAAATGGCAGTATCAATGAGCATACTAGTGCTCCAATCATGGTTTCTAAATACCATTACCCACTAAAAAGAAAGAAAACACTTAAAGGACAGCTGATTTTATTGCTGAGGCCAAGAAAATGTAACATCAGTCAGGAACATCTTTTTGTGCCAGAAAACAAAGGGCTCCAAAATAGTGATGTATCACAATGACAGAGTAGCAAGATCCAAAGACTGTCTGCCAAATTTAAGATAATTTCAGCATCAAGTAAGCAGTGATGGCAGTGGACTATTATACATTGGGGAAAAAAAGAACAATGCATCCACACTAGTACTTTAAAAATACTAGAAAAATAAAGCTCTTCTTTAGCGTATCAAATAATAGTTGCAAAAGATATAAGGGAAACAGAAAATTCAACATATTATAGTCCTTTTTTTTTTTTTAATTTGACAGGTAGAGTTACAGACAGTGAGAGAGAGACAGAGAGAAAGGTCTTCCTTCCGTTGCTTCACTCCCCAAATGGCCGCTATGGCCGGTGCTGTGCCTATCCAAAGCCAGGAGCCAGGTACTTGCTTCTGGTCTCCCATATGGGTGCAGGAGCCCAAACACTTGGGCCATCTTCCACTGCCTTCCCGGGGCCACAGCAGAGAGCTGGACAGGAAGAAGAGCAACTGGGACTAGAACCTGGAGTCCATATGGGATGCCGGCGCCGCAGGAGAGGATTAACCAAGTAAGCCACGGCGCCGGCCCCCATATTATAATACTTATGGTAAGGAATGCTTTAGGCAAGAATCATCAATGGTTGCAAAAGTTGTTGAGCAAAACACTGTCGAGGGAAGGATATGCAATCCCCTGACCTCACGAGATCCATAACATAACCTCTTTAGTCCATTGTATCAAAATATTTAATTGGGGGGGCTGGCACTGTGGCAATAGTGGGTAAAACCACCTCCTGCAGTGCCAGCATCTACAGCAGCTGCTCCACTTCCGATCGAGCTCTCTGCTACAGCCTGGAACAGCAGTAGAAGACGGCCCAAGTCCTTGGGCACCTGCACCTGCTTGGGAAACCCTAGGGAAGCTCCTGGCTCTTGATCAGCACAGTTCCGGATGTTGTGGCCATTTGAGGAGTGAACCAGCAGATGGAAGACCTCTCTCTCTCTGCCTCTCCTTCTCTCTCTAACTCTGACTTTCAAATAAACATATAAATCTTTTAAAAAAATATTTAATTGGAATCCAACCATGAGGTAGCAATTACACAAAGTATTTTTATGTGACAAAAATGATCAAGACCAAAAGAGAGAGAGGTGGAAAGAGCAAAGAAAATGCTAGAGGACTATTTTAGACTAAAGGAGTCTAAATAGATCCAGCAACCTCATGCCTACATACATACATAATCAAGAACTACATTTGGTTAGCACCTGGACTGTAAAAGAAGTTATAAATGGCATTATTGGGATAATTTGGGAAATTTGAATATTTGATTATGGACCAGATATTAGAAGATTTTACTGTGCCAAAGTTAAGTTACAAAGTGTAATAATTACACTATAGTTAAGTGAGATAGTTATGCTGTGCTTAGGAGGTAGATGCTGATGAGTTTAGGCCCAGTGAGCAAGTTAGATCCAGTTCCGTGTTCACTATTTCACGCTTTTGAACATGCTGGGTTTCCACAAAGAATATCTTTCCCATTGTAGCTTCTACCTGTCTTTCAAGATCGAGAATTAAGAATACTTCCCTGACCCATATGGCCTGAATAGGGTGCCTGCAACAAATCCTTTACAATATATTGTTTACTTGACAGTTTCTACGATTAGACCATGAGCTCATTGAAGACCTAAGTTATAGATTTATTTCAGCACCTAGAAAAATGTTAATATTATGTAGAAAGTGTTTGGTAAGTATATGTTGACTAAATTAATGACTGAGGCCTAAGAGGGTCATCTAGAAGGACAAATCAAGCAGTAGAATAAATGATAAAGATGGACAGAGGAGAGCGAAGTATTGGGAATATTTTATCACCACTGCAAACAACAAATACAGTTTTGTTTCTCCCTTTCTCCTTGTCTCACACATATATTTAGCTTCCAAATCTCTTTAGTAAGTTTAAAACTTATTTATTTAGATTTTATTTGAAAAGCAGGAGAAAAAAATAGAGGGGGTAATAGAGAAAAAAAAGTACTTCTATCCCTTCTTCATTCCAAAATGCATGCAACAACTGGGCCAGGCCAAAGCCAGGATCCCAGAACATAATTTGGGTCTCCCACACTGGTAGAAGGAACACAAATACTTCAGCCATCACCTGCCACCTCCCAATTCCACAGCAGCAGGAAACTGGAACCCAGACAGTGATATGGGATGCAGGTATCCCAGGTGATGTCCCAATCAAACGTCAAACCCTATTTTCCAAGTCTTGTTGACTGAACTTACTAATCTCTCCTGAACTGATCAGCTATTTCTTTTGTGACTGCACTGTTGGTGACACGTATCTGAATTACATCCCTCCCGGAAAATTGCATGAGTTGCCTGCATAGTCAGATTGTTTCCAGTTTCTCCCCAATTTTAATTCATCTCATACATTACTAGTTTAGTCCTAAACTAGAGTTATGACTTTCAATTCCCCAGTCATGAATTTTCTCTGTCCCTCAATTCCCACAATACAAAGTCCCAAGTCTTTCACTTCCCCCCACAATGCTTCCAATTGTTTCCCAATCTTTTATTTCTATCACAACTCATTTAGCTGAAGGTACCTGCCGATGATCCCCCACAAACACTTTCTCCTGTCCATCACTTTCTCCCTGGAACCTTTAAGCTTTGTTCTCGTCCACCAGAGCTGGTAGCTTTTCGTGGCCTTCACTCCCACACGTGTGATGGAAAGAGTACAACATTGAAGACAACAACTTGCATTCTGGTCTGAGCTCTCACCTCACTACCTGAGTGACACTGGAGTGCTCCCATAATCACTCCTGATGAGGTGTGGAGAAAACACATATCTAGGGTTAATGAGGGGATCAAGTGAGATTATACAAATGAAAGCACCTGGCAAATTGCTAAGTGATATAAAAATCTATGGACACAAATTCATAAATGAACTCCATTGTGAACCATAGAAGTTTATGAATTATCTGTTTATTATTAAATGTTTCAAGCACTGTAATTCTTTTATAGTGTATTTGATTATGTTGTTGGTCAAGGCCTTA